AAACAGACGTCATTCAGTAAGGAATTTCATTTGACTTCATAAACCTCATACGACAGCTGAGTATTGATAACTGAAAAAAAATTACATTGATTTGTTGTGAGTAATGTGTCCAATGTTTGTGGATATTGAGCCATACAAACTTAATAACCATTCCCAATTTACCTATTGTATGACTGTAATAAAATCTGATCATAGCTATAAATAAATACAAATAACCTGAGAATTTTTATTTCTATTTTGTGCTATTATGTTGCAGTGATCAATACAAACAGATATTTCTGGCATCCAGAGTCCTACTGTATCTCTTGTTTACACCTTTGATAGAGCAGAGGGGACACCTTTTACATACTACAAAGAAAAAACTGTTATTGGACAGAAAACAACGAGATAAAAAGTCTACAGCCACAGTAGCAGTTTCTGAGGCTGTATTTATAGGCACTGTTTGAGCTAAATGCTAATATGAGCTTGCTAACATGCTTACAATGACAAAGGGGGACATGTACAAATTTTATGGCAGTCCATCCAGTAGTTGTCGTACTTTGTACCATGTGTTGTCCGAGAATGTTGGAAGACAAAAATGTCTGTAGGTGTTTTGAACAGCTATACTTAAAAGTGGGGTAAAAAAAATAACTGGCCATCACAGAGAGGACCAAAATATGTGAATAATTTCTTTCAGACAGTCTCTCCTGGAAAGTACTCAAACCTGGCTTACTTATTTACCTCCAAAAACCTGGCCAATCACTCTGGGAAGTGGGTGTGATGATTGTCAGTTTTGGAAAGTTATAGAAATTGTCGACACACAGCCTCTCCCATTCTGATGTCAGAAATGTGTGTGTCTGTCAACTCTTCTGATGGGTGATGGTAGTGCTTGTACAAGATATTGTTGAAATATCTTACTGCATATGTGAAATTTTGACCTGCTATTGGCATGAGATAAAAAGTCAGGGTCAAGTAAGTGAGCGGGCTCCATCCTCTGTGGATCATGAACGTGCGTACAAAATTTCATGACAATCCATCTAAGATATTTCAGTCTGGACCAGTGGTTGACCGGCTAGAAATGACCAGTAATCCCTTGACGATAATATAAGCTTGTTTGAATCAGTTCTGTAGCAATGTACTGTATCATGTTAGTCAGTAGAAGCAGCAGGAATGTGCTGCACACTAATCCTGCCTGGTTTCTTTCACATCATGTCACATTGGGGGTTACTCTGTGTGACAAACTATGAGGATTTGTGGATTTCACCATTCTCTTATTTGGCTATTTCTCAGTGAGCACCCCCTCCCACCTTTGCAGAGTTTGAGACATACAGTAGACAAAACAGTAACCAAATATTAGAAATTACCTCTGGGTTCCAGCCAGACAGTCAGACAGCAGTTTTTAAACAATTTGCACAACAAGGAGGGTGTGTTTCATCAGGAAAATGTTGCGGAACTTGTTTCAGTTTGACAGCTGGTTTGTCTCCTTGGCTAAATATTCTTATGCAAACATTCCACTGTTTCATTTCTGGCCAGTCGTTTCTGAGGCTCCCAGACAGATAGCGTGTGGCTTTCCACTCATAATAGCCAGCATCTCCTTAAAATGTCAATGAGGAATGCACAAGCCCATGACCCCTTGGTTACCATTGCCACACTGAATGCATTTATATGATGTCACATTGTTTGATTGAAACAAGCACAATGCACTGAAAATTACTGTTATAAGCCTGAATTCTCTTGCTGTAATAAAAAAAAAAAATTTTTTCAAACATCCGTTACTGGCTACTCAAATGGTAAGAAATACTCAATCCCTCCAACATACAGGCATGAAAGTTTGGGTGATGCACTGAACCGTTGAACAGCTGCGGTGGAAGAGTTTTGTATGTCAAGCCAAGATTGAATACTTGTGGGCGCAGGCAACAAGAAAACTCACTGCTTTTTCTTCAATATTACATTTAAACTTAGAGAAAAGATAGAGATCTCACTCAAAACATTTCCAATCTGAAGAGCTCCTCCATCTCAGGGTGCTCCAAAGATCATCAGGTATGCAGCCAGAGGGCTTTTTCTCTTTGTGGTCAGTGGAAGGAGAAAGGGTGTAGAAGGAGCCTCCAGCCCATAAACCCCAGACTTAGTATTGGAAGAGCCAATAGGCTGCAGAGGCCAAATGGCACCATTTGTAAGAGCAATTGATGAGGAAAATGGGGGCAACAGGGTCTCCTTTCAGACCTGGAGGGAAAACACACATGGCGGCCAAATGCTTGATTGTTGCACTTAGAGTCTAAATGGGCACCAGGAAAGGAAGACAATCAGACTTAAATTATTAGCTTTTTAGTCCAAGGATTGTACACACTGAAACATGCCTGTTCTGGTGTGCTAATAAAACATATAGAGCAATGCAGAAACCAATCTAATTCAGCATTGACTTCCCAATTTGCCATGTCTATTCTATCTGAATTCCTTCTGTGGGCTTTGAAATAAACAACGGTCTGGTCAGAAATGATTATGTATAAATAAGTAGTCAGCTGCTTCTGTCTTGACTGGAAGCCTTTTTTACTGCAATTTGTCTGTACAAAAACCAAATGAATCTGAAAACATGTGCCTTTCAATTATTTTTCAAGGGGTGACAATGGTCAGTAAGTATTGGATGGATTGCCTTTAAATCTAGTAAAAATATTCATGGTCCTCAGAGACTGAATTCTAATGTATTTGATGATCTCCTGACTTTTCGTCTTCACAGTTCACAGTATTTTAGGGCATTTTATATCTTCTTTAGGGAGTAGACAGTTGTGATGGGCAATGCAGTTCTTTTCAGTTGAACCATTAGAACCATTAGCAAACTGAAAGCTCCCCCTTATTATGTACAGCATGTATATTTCCGTGGCATCAATTATTAACTAAAACATTTGGTCGTACTTTCTACTTTGAGACTTCAAGACATGCAGGGCAAGGGAAGGGGGCTTAAGCAACTGCCTGCCACTCACTGTATCCCTGCATGTTCGCTCGCTGCTGACTGAGAGCTCAATTAAAGTCAGTTCAGTTGCAGTTGCAGTTACCTGGCAAAGGTTAGCATGCTAATGTGTTAAACAATGGTGAACACAGTAAACATTATACCAACTAGGCTATATCACTAAATTAGCTTTGTCATAGGAAGCATGTTAGCATGCTGATGTTAGCATTTAACTTAGAACTGGTGTACCTGAGTACAGCCTCACAGAGCTGCTAGCTTGGCTGTAGACTCTTATTTAATCAAAGTAAAGATCAGAAAATGATCTTTACAAATGTGTTGGTATTTTTCACTCCTTTAACCTCTCTTCCAACAGACACATTAATAATATTTCCCTATCACACTGAGTCTTCCACAATGTATCTTCAAAAGTCAGTTCACAGATTTATCCAACTGTTGCCAATCAGTAGATTGGATGGTTGGCAACTGTGTAGAACCTTTCCTCCAGGTGTCTTTAAAAAAAAAAGGATGTGTCTGGGCCCACCTCCGCTCTCATTCATGAACCGGCAGCCAATTTGAGATGTTGCTTTTACCCTGTTTCCAAACCACAACTTGTGCAAGTATGTGTCCGGCTGGGCTGCCAGGCTGCCCTGTAAAATTAAAACAAACAAGACCACCTGTCCCAAGTATGCAGCGAGAGGACCAAAATCAGATGTACATGATTTTCCCTCTCAGAGTGTCAATCAAACCGAAGAAAAAGTGACATGTTTCCCTTAATGCAGCTGCAAAAAGCATCAGGACTAACATCGGAATCCTTGAGGAACATTTGGATCTTTCATGAGGGTGAATATGACTTTTCCATACCATCCAGGTATTTGGATCCAAAATACAAATGCAAAACAAATAGGCCTACCTCATAATTTAACCACATCTAATCTTTTTAATTCGCTCTAATAGACCTGCCTCCTTTGCACTGAGGTCATTTATTCAGAGAACTGAAATAGTAAACCCTCTCTAACAGCAGACTGATAAACCTCTTCAGAATAACGATACCTCCAAGGTTATTTTGAGCACAGAGTTGGAAAAAAAGAGAAAAGAAATCATGTAAGCCATGAAACTGAATCTGTTCACATCGATCCAAGCTCCAGAAAACAAAAAGTTGAACAATGGCTTTACTACAAGAAGTAAAATCCAATCCTTACCTTTAGGGGACATAAAAGCTCCTAAAATGATAAAATACTAGTTTGATTGATATTCCATTGACTGCACAATAAAAAACATGATTCAGGAAAATTTAAAAAAATTAAGATATCTTATAAATAGAATAAAAATAGCATGATTTAGGAAAATAAATAAAATAGTTCTAATAAATGTTTTTGCAAATGAATCCTTCTGCAGCAATGCAAAGCAGCTTCGGTGTACACAATGTGCTGGACAAAGATTAAAGAGAGGGCCTACGTGAGATAATTTCTTCGAAATGAAGGTGATACATGTAAAGTGAGTAAGTGTATTAAACAGTACTGACAGTACAGTGGAAGTAAACAGAGAGAAGCGGCGGAGAGCGCAGCAGCGGAGGGCTGAGACTTGACTCAGGGGGCGCACAGCAGCAGAGACGCCCACACAGACTGGAGGCAGAGAGACGCGCTATAAAACCATGATTCCGTATTTGAGTGACAGATTCAGTGGGGATCCTTTACGACCATGAGACAGCCAGACGGGTTCAGACATGGAAAACACTCCGCAAAGGACACCGATGTCTCAGCCTTTATCAGAGGGAACCGTGATTTCTGATCTCAAGAAAAAGGTTTTTTGTTCAGTTTCTGGACTTCACTGATATTGTTTGAGAGACTGTGTCTGTGGAGTATCTCTGGATATCTGTGAGACAAGAAAAAATATCTTTTGGTTGTTCAGCTAGACTAAAGGATATCTCAAATATGTAATGGTAAGCTATTTCTTTACTAGGAATCTCATTATAAAATAGACTAATAACATAACATCAGCCTGAGAGCTTACATTTATCGTTGAGTGGATTGCATAATTGTTCAAATATCTGACAATGATTTGATTCATAACACTGATATTGATTTATAACTGTGATCATAATTTTAATGTACATTATGCACAATATTCTGCAAACGGGTGCAACCTATAGTGCAAATGCACCATCTAATGGCATTTCATCCACAACTGGCAAACTGTTCAGTGAGAACTTACATAGGAATGGGCAATACATAAAGTTTGTTAAAGCAGGATAAGAAGGCCATATTCTGAGGTCTACATACAACATGATTGGTTTAGGTATGAAAATCAGCTATTAGGTTGATTCAGTGGATGATAATCAGATCTAAAACATTGTCAGCAGTTGATATTCTCAAAACATTCAAAACTCATTCGGGGGAGAAATAATCGTCTTGTAGGTTCAATTTAGACAATAACAGCAGATAAGGGGAATCTTCATAGTAAAATAATCTTCTATATGTTTATAATGAAAGATGCTAAAACAGTATATCATATTGTTCAGCCTAGTGTGTCTTAATATATTGCTTGCTGGGAGGATTGTCCTCTTTGTGTCCTGTGTTTGAGTGTCCTCCATGTAAACTAGTCAGTTAGTCAGATCTTCAGTCATCTGTGAAGAATTTGTCGTAGTATGTGTTACTCATTTAGTTATTAGAAGTCCCCAAATCTTAATTTTAAACAGTATAAGGAAAACATACATATGGGTTACAAATCAAATTAAAAGACAACATAAAGTTTCTTATGGTGTTGAGCTGAAATCAGCCTGCCAGAACGGCTTAGTGCTCCTTGTCATAGATTCTCCATGTGGAGGGAATGAATACCATTCTTCCAAAAAATATTCCCTCATTTGGTGTTGGGACGATGGCGGTGGAGAACGCTGTCTAACATGTTGCTTCAAAGTCACCCACAGATGTGACTACGGTATATTTTACTTATGTTGATCCTTGCTCTGTACAGACGTGATCTTCTTTCTCTTGCAGCCTCCCTTAACTACGGACCTCATGACCTTCAGGGTTCAGTGATGTTAGCTTTGAGCCACTACAACTCCTCAGCCTCCCCGCTCTTTCCTCATTTCTCTAATGACAGCGCAGGGAAGTTGGAGGCCAGGGTGACTGTCGAAGGGGTGACAGATCAGCCAAACTTCTCCCCAGGGCAGCCCACCACCGGAGGCGTCATTGTCGTAATACTGTCCATGACACTGGGCATCATCTCCAACATTGTGGCCCTTATCATCCTGGCCAATGCGTACTCCCTCCAGCGCCGCCGGACCAAAGCCACGTTCCTTCTGTTTGCCTCTTCACTGGTGGTCACAGATTTCATTGGCCACGTGATCCCTGGTGCCCTGGTTCTCCGACTCTACCTGTCCGGAGGTGTGCACCATGAGGACTCCAACTCTTCTGACAGGATGTGTCAGTTCCTGGGTGGCAGTATGGTTTTCTTTGGCCTGTGCCCACTGTTCATGGGCTGTGCCATGGCTGCAGAGCGCTGCCTGGGTGTCACTAAGCCACTGCTGCACTCATCCCTGGTCACCAAAACCCGCACAAAGATCTGCCTGTGTGTCATCTGGCTGGCAGCTCTGTGTGTGGCCATGTTGCCGTGCTTTCAACTGGGCTCTTACACCTATCAGGACCCAGGGACCTGGTGCTTCATTAAAGTGCTCAGTGACACTGAGGAGGTGGACGTGGCGTTTGTGGTGCTGTTCTCCGGACTAGGTCTGACCTCGCTAGCTGTAGCGCTGGTGTGTAACACCATCAGCGGACTGACGCTGGTGCTCGCTCGGCTCAGGAGGAAGCCCGGCTCCCATCACTCAGCCAAGTCCCATGATATAGAGATGGTGGTGCAGCTGGTCGGCATCATGGTCACCTCATGTATCTGCTGGAGCCCTCTGCTGGTAAGAATCAGGAAGTGCAGCCAGGTCATAATGAGATTCCTCTTACGCTTCAGTACTTTTCCCATCACTCACTGAAGTTGGTTAATTAGAGCTCTCCTCAGGACTCTGCATGTACACACAGTGCGTGATCGACAGCTCTGTCACTGTCTTGTCAGTTTTCTTGCACCTGTTAGGGCGGGACAACTTTCTCAAGGATTTTCATTTTCCATCTGACTTTGTTGTGGAAACGCCAGTCATTGAAAGGGAAAGTGTTAATGAAATTGTCACATATATATATGACACATATAGATAATCTGTTAAAACATCTTCAGCCAAAGCAGAACAGTTGAAGTGTTACAAATAATGCATCCAGTGTACAGTCAACAGAAAGAGAAGGTCTACTAACAAACATTGATTTCAGATTATGTTGCTCGCTCCTTCAAATAGGGGTAGACAGATCAATACTTACACTGTTAATACTACCACCCCATCTTCTTCTGAGTATCAGTTCTAACCTCAATAGGATCAGATTCAAAAGACGTGATCCATCTCACATTAGATCATTTTCTGGGCACATGAACACTCTTCTTGGTGCCTGGACTCTTTTGTCAGCATTAAATGCATGTGATTACAGTAAATATCACATGACACATCTCCCTTACATGATAGCACATTGCAGCTTCTAAAAATAAGAAATATTGGTATTGAAACCACAGTGGAATGAAGTAATACCAGGTGTTTAGGTCATTTTATTGCAGACACTCAGGACTAAAACTGTGTGGTATCGTCCGCTGTATATTTAAATAACGATGAATGAGCAGGCAATTTTAACAAAACACTAAATAACCATACCTTACCGTAGCCATGTTCAAAGAGCATTACTAACATGATATCCATAACATGTTTCAGACCCGCATCTGTGCTGTCACTCAAAAGCAATATCTGTCCTTCCTAATATGGATGTAACAATACTATATAAAAATGTTATTTCATGTGATAATGTAAAAACAACATTGGGGGTGCCCCGTTAGCTCACCTGGTAGAGCTGGCGCCCCATGTACCAAGGCTGCGTGTCATCCCCTCTCTCGACCCCCTTTCCCATGTCTGTCTTCAGCTGTCCTATCCAATAAAAGGAAAAAGCCCCCAAAACAATATTTTAAAAAATCATAAAAACAACATTGGTGTATCCATGTCACACAGATTTGTTGTGTTTTCGTAAAATAATCAGGATCACTTTTGTTGTTGTTATAACTGCAAAGTTGTTATTTTGAGTCGTTGTAGTGTCACTATCAATGCTGTGCTTTTGCTCTTTCTTCGTGTAATAACTGCTCATGTTTCATGCCTACAGATCTTTGGCTTGATGACTGTTATCCACTCCTACACGAGATCTATCGGAGATGACCTATTACAGTATCAAACCCTGATGGTGATGGGCGTGAGGCTGGCAACGTGGAACCAGATCCTCGACCCCTGGGTCTACATCCTGCTGCGCCGCACTGTCCTCCGCAAAATCTACCTCATCACTAAGTGCCAGGCAGGCCTTAGGGGTAATATGTTAGGCCGCTGGGAGCCCACCTCCTTTCCCAGCTCAGAGAAGAATGAAGTCAACCAAGTTTGAGCTGAGAGAAAGACTTATACCATACTTTGTGGATGTACTTTGTCACCAGCTTGTTGAACATACAAAGAACTCAGCATGCAAAGCCGCTTAGAAGGAGACAGGAGAAGAAACCTGTGGAAGGAACTAACTTTGTTGCCGTGATGGTGGAGCCGATCACATTAGACATGCAGTTTGACATTTCTCGGCTGGTCCACTAAAGAAATGTTTAATGGATTCAATCAGAATATCTCTTTCATAGTCCATCGAAGTTTACCTGTGAGTTAATTGTCTGACATTACAAATGGAAGCTAGCTAATGCTATGATTTTGCACAAAATATTGTAAACTTTCTACTGTTTACTTATAATAAGTGAAAATTCATTATTATTATTATATTATTCTCATTTGGAAACTCATGGCCACAGTATATGAATGCAGTACTAACATGCTCTGTCCTGAGAGAGACTAAGGATTGCAGGATTGATTTATAGAGGCACTAGTTACTATTTTCACCAGCTTTGAAAGTAAGAAATAAATTACATTAGACAGATGTGGAAGAATTTAGCTGTACAGGTAAAACCATCAGAGGGAGCTCCAGAGCAAAACCAGATGTATTTAGAGTGTATTCGAAATGTTAATTACTCTGCTGAATGTATTTCATAAAGGAATGTTAATATTCAAATACTTTGGAGATTATTTAGTTTAAGTTTAAATATGCTTTCCTTGTGTTTATACAGTGCTTTATGTGAAATAATGTAATGTTTTTAACTTAATACTTGAATTGTACCCTCAGTTTACTGAGGATATGTAACGAACTTTAAATTGAATGTAAATAAAACAGTGCAATGTGACTTTACTCTGAGGTTTTCCATTAATTTCTATCTTTTCCATGTTCTTAACAAACAGATTAGTGAGTTGTGTGGTTACTAAATATACTACAGTGGTGCAGTTACTAAACTGTTTTATGTATTATATATTATTATATATAATTATTCTGGTAGCTAAGCAGTGCTAGAATGGATTGGACGAAACACTGACTAAGTATTAATGAGAGTTTTGTACTATTGTACTTCAGTATTTTCTCAGAGTATAGAGTATTAATGATAAAAATCTGTACTTTGGGTTGTGCATCAGTATGCTGTGATCTACTGCAGGGATTCCCTGCAGAGTCATTATGGACTTCACTTTCCACAGGAAATAATGATGACAAATAAAAAAGGATTATCCACAAAGGTCATGCAGATAACATATCAAAGCAAGAAGAGTGTTGAGTAAATCTTTCCAATACATACCGGATTCATTTGCTGTTTCCAGTGAGCTGTTTTCTTTCTTAGGCAAGTGTCTACGCAGGTAGTCTGGCTCTCATGTGAGTAAACTTTGGCTGACGTGCAGTTCATCAATGAAATACTATTATTACCAGCTTCCTATTTTGTCTCTTTCCTCCCCTGCATCATGTCTTTCCAACCACATTCACATGGGCTGCAGCTGCGACAGTTTTTCCTTCTTATTCCACAGACCTACTGGGAGATCCTTTATGCAAAACGCAACTTGTTGCAAGACGTGAGTGGGATCAAGATGGCCCACTTTGTTGTGTTCTCACCATGAGAAGTGATCATGTAACTCTGTGCTGGTCAGTAATTAGCACAAAAATCATGAAGTCTGTACGCCACCTGAAATATGCAACGATAATAAATAAGCAGTGGTGGGAGAAGCATTCAGATCCTTCAAAAAAAGAAAGAGCAATATAAAATTATACTGCATGTCCTGCCGGAGAAAAATTCTACTTAAGCAAAAGAACAGAAGTATTAGCACCAAAATGTACTTAAAGTAAAGAACTTGTTTCGTCCCTGGGACTGATGTATTGTTACATATGACATTATTCTTTACCGATGCATCAGTGTATACTGGAAGTAGTGTGTTACTGTTGGTCAAGGTATAGCTAGTTTTAACTTTTTTATATACAGCTTGGTAGTTTAGTCCAGTGGTTACCAAAGTAGGGATCAAGGCCCCTCAAGGGTCACAAGATATAACTTGGGGTCCTAATATGATTAATGGGAAAGTAAAATACGAATTTGAGTTAATTTCTGTACAGATTTTTTGCTTTTTTTTTTACCTCTTTGGGCATTGAACATTTATTTAAAAGTCTAGTATGTAACATTTAGGAAATTCTATTGCCAGACATTTGATATAATATTCATATTCATGCTAATTTAAATCCGTAGTCCCTAGCCAGGTAACAGAAATATTACAAATGACAATAACAGATACACAAGTAGCCTTTATACTTTTAGTGTCAACAGATTAACATGTGCATTGGTGATTTTGTCATGTAAAATATAACTACTCCTATTCCCTATATACTATATATAGTCCACTGATGGTCATCTTACCATTATTCAAACAAAACAAATCCAACCTTTGTGCCAGTTTTGACCACTGAGGCCACGTAGTGAGGTAATGTCGCTCCGGTACAGCAGGTGGCGCCATGCACCGTGATCCGCCAGGGAAACCACAGAAGAGGTCATCTTCATGCGACCCTTCGCTGGTCACGGCAACAAAAAGGTAGCAACGTAACTACGAGGAGGTGTCCACCTGTCTATCCGCTCGCTGACAAAGGTAAGCCCTGACTGCACAGACGAAGCACAGACAGGAGTCAGTGCTGATCGACGCCTCCAGTACACCGACCATGCACTGGCATGTTAACCAGCGTTAGCTAGCTAGCGTGCTAACGTGAAGTGGGCGGTCAATGCTATAAACATTAGCTGTCATAGACGATCGCAGTGACGTTACCTTCGTTCAACACATGATGGTGAAAGCAAACAAACACTAATGCACACATGTATCTGCATCCAGAGGAGCAACCTGCTGAGCAAGTATCCCGCGTAACGTTAGCAAACATCTGCATGTTGATAACTTAATGTCATTCACGACATCTGCTTTGATGGCTCGTATTCTGCCTGCTACCCACCAGCTGTACACGGACTAACAGAGGGGTTTCCTTCTAAAAACAGGTGGTAGCTTCGGGTCTGCAAGTCGTGACAGCATGGCGGCGGCTGCATGGGACGAGCACCAGGCGTATGAGGAGCTGCTGTACTGGGACAGCCTCATACAACAGGGCCACCGCCTCCTCCCGCACGACTTTGATAGGTACACCCAGCCTGTAGTGAGAATGACACTGAGGTATTAGGGCAGGGCACATTTCATTACACTCTATGCACTTTAGTTTGCAAGTAATCTGTACGGGAGTATTCTACAAATACAATAGTTTCTAATGTGTTCAATAATAACAACATTATATACAAAGAAGTGAAGAGCACCACAGACACACACACACACACACACACACACACACACACACACAGGAGTTCATCATCTTGCTTTTGAATGTGAAGTTGTGACATTTTCCTTTTTTATACTGAAATTACTTTTATGGTCACATCCTGTTTAAAAGTGTCAATGAAAAATATTGATTGTTGTGTTATTTGGCACTCTGTTTCACACTTTTGACTCGAACACTGGAATATGTCGTTAAAGGTGTCCTCGTTTACTCATTTCCTCCTTCCAGATACGAGGAGCTGCGTTACTGGTATGACTGCCTGTGCTACGAGGAGGAGCTGAGACAGTACCACGACTACATCGCTGCTATCCAGCAGGATAATCGGCATCATGAGGTTATTGTTTCACCTTTTAATTTGAGTCATGTAACCCCCTCCTACAAGTCTCCACATTAATAGTGAACATCTAATGTTTTCCATCACCGTTTTGTTTTGTTTGTACTTTAAAAAGATTGCTCTTCCTCTTCCATGAAAACTGTATCTGGTGAATGTGAATGTTTCCACATGTTTTTTTTTTTTTCTTTTATCACGCACTTCCTAACTATTTCTACTAACATTATACTTCCCAATCCTATTTTTACTCTAAATATTGTGCGAGATTGCTATTTCACTGGATTACATCTAAGTAACCTTAAACTGCATAAGGCATTCAAGAACTGCTTTAATACTTTTAATAATCTATTTATTACAAAAGTAACTGCCTATTATATGATTACAGTGTAAACTAAAGATGCATTTGTTCTCATCCACACTATGTTGTTCTTTTCCACAACATTAACGTTAGTTTACAGAAGCTGCCCACCAGGTGCACACAGGTCCATACGATCGCCATGTGATGGCCAAACACTCAGAAGTGTATCCATCACCAGAGGAGCTGGAGGCGGTGCAGACCATTGTCTCTCATGTGGAGTGTGCCCTTAAGACTGTGTCTGACCAAATGGATGCTCCGAAAGACGAAAAAGAAAACACAGAGGCGGAGAGGTAAGCGATGTGTCCCAATGGTTGAAAATTATATCAAGTTTCTTCTGAAATTGTGTAACAGAAGTGTGTTTCCTCTTTATATAAATATTTTGTTTTTTTCTTCCTCATAATGCAAGCAGTGATTCACAAGAGCGTGTCCTGCGTGGGGTTATGAGGGTCGGCCTGGTGGCCAAAGGACTTCTGCTGAAGGGAGACAAGGACCTGGAGCTGGTGCTGCTCTGCTCCAACAAGCCTACTATCACCCTGCTTAAACAAGTCGCTGAAAAGTTAATTGCACAGTTAGAGGTAGAACTGAGTACCTGCAGTTGTTTTCACATCATGCTCCTGGTGATTCTGTTTATACATATTAAGAGTCTTTTTATTTGCCATCATAACATTTTGTTCCTTTTCTAATCAGGAGAGTTCAGCGGGGACGTATATAGTAAGCCAGTGTCCGGGGGATGCAGCCATTGTTGTGACAAGTACCAAGGAGTCGGTCCTGACTCTCACTATCCACCTAACATCGCCTCTTGTCAGGACGGCGCAAGAGAGTAAAACTGCAGAGGAAGAAGAAAAAGAACAAGGCACAGGTATGTATGCTGGTCCAGCCTCCAACATCCGCTACCACAGGCCTGATCTGTGTGTTCTCAGTTCACAGACACTGTACGGCTCGACTGATCTGCAACCCCGCACTGCCAATTGAAACGCCACACACGTTGTCCATCTTCATCTCATTAGACCTCAGTGGAGCCCGTACAGTGTCTGTCTCAGCCCGATGCCAGTGAACAACCAATGGATGTTGGCTCTTCACTCGCTCAAGAGTCCTGTCGTCGTCTTGTGACAAAAACTGGTGTTTGCCAGCACTGCACTTCCTCTGTAATCGCTGATACATTCTGCACATGTTGATAACAATGCCAGTCATAAAAAACAACTTTGTTTATTCTTGTTGAATTGTTTTCATGTTAAATGTGAAGGCTTTTCAAGAATAACAAGTTAAAGCGCGCATTTGCATGTACTTGATACTGAACATGTACATTTGGCACCAGCTGCAGCAAAACTGATCAGCAATGAGGAAATATCTGTGGCTTCTCTTGAGAGAGTTTAACTTCAACAACCAGACAGGAAAAACAACAGCTGAACCATTGTATATGGATTAATGTGTTGGTTAGTGGTGTGTTTATCAAGCTTCTGTGTCATTCAGCTTGAGCTGTCTTTACATGGGAGTCTTCCAAACCTTCGATGAGTTCATTTAAAGGTCAGGGGGAGTTTGATGAAGCCCCACATAAAGAACCATACCGGTCTCAGTGCAGTTTAAGTCCATTTTACTACATTGCACACTGGGGCTGCACAGTTAAAAATACGTCATGATTGTGATTGTGATTGTGATTGTGGCTGCCACAGTCATTCACACTTGATCAGGTGCAGTACTGGCACTGTGTGTTTGAAGGGCGCTCCCTGTTCACAGGTAAACTGTCTGACCAGTCAGGGGTTTGTCATGAGTAGTGTTACACAAAAGAGCAATGGTAAACATTTACAAGACAAGAGTTGATGGTACGTATACGTGTTTTGAATAAACTGTGAACTTGTTGCCCCGTTAGTGACAGAGCTAACAAGTTTGTTAACTGACTGTTACTCATTAGCTCAGAGATCTTTATTTGCCTTCTTCAAAGTAAACAGATCAGTAGAGAGAAATGGAGAGAAACTCCAGGAGCTACTGTCAGTGGTGGAGGAAGTACTCAGATGTTTAACTCTAGTAAAAGTACTAATATTACAGTGTGAAAGTTTACTAGTAAAAGTCATGCCTTTAAAATCAGACATAAGTAAAACCACAGAAGTATTATCGACTAAATGTACTTAAGTATCAGAAATCCTTGCTGTCTAAGCATCATTTTACTGCTGTAGCTGCTCATGGTGGAGCTAGTTATAAATACTTTATATGCAGTTAGCTAATTTAGTCCCACGGTACCCAACATAAGGGTCGGGCCCCTCTAAAGGGTCACAAGATAAATCTGTAATATAGCTGGACTGAAGAAAAACAGAATGCTTGATTTTTTGTTTTTGAACTGAAATATTAGACTTCAAACAATTTAAAAATCTATATAAAGTTTGCTAGGGCAATGTCTCCTTTTTGTTTTTGTTCTTTTCAAGTGAAACCTGGCTAATGGCCCCAACTAGACACTGCTGTTTTGTAACAGGTCAGAAGCATCACCGATGGCAGGTTATATCAGCTGTCGTTGATGTTATTCTGCCAGTAACTTGATGACAGGTTAAAATTACACTCTCTGCTGTCGGGTTTGTGTGCTCTCTGCAAGCCGGTGTCTGTCCCGGCCAAAGATTGTTTGTGTGGTAAGAAGCTCCACTTTGGTTGCTTTACAACTGGTAAGTTACGCTTTAAGGAAAGGCTGATTTTATGTGGAGACTTACTTTTACTGAAAAGGACCAGTGAAGTTGCAGATTACAACCAACTGAATACTGCTTGCCATCCAAGTGTGTACGAGAAACTATGGTGGCTGCAAAACATGCCAAAAACACAAAAGCCCCTATCTAGAGTCACTGTTTGGTTTGTCGGTTCTGGGCTGCTGTAGAAACATGGCGGTTCAACATGAATCTGTTGAACAGGACCCGCTCCCTCTGTAGATAAAAACAGCTTATTCTAAAGCAACACAAACACAACGGTTCCTATATTTAGGCGATAATACACTAATGAACACTAGATGAGGATGAGTATGCCCTCTAATTAGAGTTTCAGTTAAATATTACTGTCAGTTGATTACATTTAGGCTATTCGTGCAGCCCTGTTGCAAGCAAACAGCTGGCCTTCCGTTCTTTAGTTTTTAATTACTCATGCAACCATTCGTTGTGGTCCAGTATGGAAATCAACTTGCAGAAGCCTGAAACTTTCTGTAAATGAATGAGTTGAATTGTATTTGTTGTGTAGAAATGAGCTAAAACTTGCACAAAGTTGGTATGGCTCTTTGTGTTACCGATCTTTCATAAAGCCGGTTTAAGCCGCTTTTGGATCAGGGACTCCATCAGTTTTGCTGCAGTGTGGGGCAGACGTGAAGATTCTCTCAATGCTTGTGATTTATAAATGATTGCCTTTTTAGTCTGTCAAGTTTTTTAGGACCGCTGGACCTTTGACCAACTGGACATACTGTCTCAGGAGGGGGGAAAAGCAGCAAACCCAAGCCGAGGGGCTGAGGGAAGGGGGTATTTTATGTACTTAACCCAGTGCATACATTAACAACATGTAATGCAATGTTGTAAATGCTACTGTGTCTTTATGACAATCTTTACTTCCACCTTCGCACGCTGTGGAAAAGTTAGGTGGGATCTGTGAAAGGTGACTATTATTCTTGTTGGGACCAAAGATTTACACACTAGGTACTTTGGACCCCCTTTCCCTGCTGCTGCTGGTTTGGGGAAAGCTGCTACTCCCTGAGCTGCAAGACAGAGCCAACCCCCTTGGTCAAACTGTACCTTTTCTTCTTACCCCACCTCGTCAATAGAAGCGCGAACAGTCAACGATCCGCCGGACGTTCTGGACAGGCAGAAATGCCTATCTGCCTTGGCGTCTCTCCGCCACGCCAAGTGGTTCCAGGTTTGCATTCACGTCCTTATTTGTACGTAAGGTTGTTTCTTTAAATGGTCTCCCTCCATTATTTCCTCCCCATTTAGAGACAGTAACACTTTTAAGCTGTGGTCTCAGTTGTTGTTGATGTAGTCCATGATCTTAGAAAGGGGAAAGTGTCGGAAGTTTAGGAGTTTTACTTATTAACTCATGAGGAGAGATCTGCTGATCCATACCAATGATAGATTTGGATGAGTCATTGGTATTGACACCAGCATATTTGATTTATCAAAATGCCCTCTGTCAGTCTGAGCTCTTTCAACTCCACTACTGTTGTCCACAACAAACAGCACGTGGACAAAAATGTGTAATAATTTGTATTAGCCATGGCCCAGTTGTTCTGACCTTTCTGTGTTTTCGGGGGCGTTTTGTGGAACCCGTGAGAGCAGAGGGTTGAGGTCACGTCAAAGGGAACAGCTCCTCTGACTGAACTGGCTTTTCTTTGTGTCTGCAGGCTAAAGTCAACGACATGGGTTCTGCAGTCGTTGTGATCCGGATCATGAGAGACTTGTGTAACCGTGTTCCTACCTGGACGCCACTCTCAGGATGGGTGAGGAAACATCTGCTGAGATGTAATATAAACCAGTTCTGTGATCAAAACTAACAAAATTAGTTTTTTAATGGAACAGCATATTGATAAGTGTTGTGTATCCTCTGTGCTCTCATCTCCACATAGCCTCTCGAGCTGCTGGTGGAGAAGGCCATTGGTACATCTGAGAGGCTAATGGGAGCAGGCGAGTCATTGCGCAGGGTTTTGGAGTGTGTTGCATCTGGAATCCTCTTGGAAGGTGAACCTTTTATTTAGTTGCCAAAATGGCATGACTGTTTCTACACTGGCATTAAATTAATAGACTCATTTTTCTGTATCTATGCAAAGACGGCCCTGGAATTAAAGATCCGTGTGAGAAGGAAACGGTCGACGCCACTGCAAATCTGACACCTCAGCAGCGTGAAGATATCACGCAGAGTGCTCAGGTAAGTTAAGGCTGCTAATACATGCAAGCACATTCATGTTTTTAAACCCTGGAAATAGTACCTAATTTTTATATTTTCCTTAGTTTGCCTTGAGGCTGTGTGCATTTGGACAGATGCACAAGGTGTTAGGGATGGACTTCAAACCTATAAAGCCACGGAAATCAATGGGAGCCAGCAAAGATGGCACAGGTACTTAATGATCTGGCCCTTTCTGTGCAGTTCACTGTAATGAAAGGTTCTGTTCTCAGGCTTGTTTCTGTTGTGTCATGCAGCTCAGATACCACCTGCTGGACACTTCATCCTGCCAGCTAAGAGAGCTTACGCAGAGGTGGATACAGGAGATGACGAGCCCCACCTCAACAGCAAGCAGAGGAAGTCTCTAAAGTTCCAGAAGCGCTTTCAGAGGAAATCATGTTAGTAATAAATATCTGAGGCCTTGATGTATAGTCTGAGCCATTTTGCTATTTAATGATTTATTTATTTATGATAGATTATAATTACACACTTATTTAATAGTACTACACTCTGTAGTCCTGCTCAATGTCCCGCCCGCAGAACTGTCTGATTGGTTAAGTAAAGTTATGGTCACACATGCGTGAATCTAGGGCAAATTGTGGGTAGGGCAGGATGTTACGGAAATCAGTTTGCTGGTTTGCAGTCTGTTTTAGGGGTCAACAGCGCACATATTTAGCATTGGTTGAGGCTGCAACTTTGTCACTCCAAGTTCACCAGTGTTGAACTTCACACAAAGCGGAGATGCAAATCTGCTTTGCCACTGGAAGCAATTGTTTTATGCACTCATTCGTTCGCATAGAATGGAGGTGAACTGGTGTTGTTGATTTTGCGTATGTAGCTTATCAACACAATGCGTGCCAATCCTCACCGATCAACTACTCACACAACTAAAACACACACACACACACACACACACACACACACACACACACCAGTTGTCTCTTCTCCTGCTGTTTTAACCTGATGCATAATGAAGATCTTAAAAAACAAAACAAAAAAGAAACATAGGGGCATATTTGCATATCACATTGGTGCTCCTACTTACAGTCTGGGGCCCTGATGCGTAACCTGACATATCGTAAAGTCTTTAATGAAATGAAAATTATTTTTATTGAAGGCTTCAAATTCAACTCCATGATATGAACCTGAACCGGACATTGTATCACTTATATTATCCAATTGTACACCTCCACACACACACACACACACACACACACACACACACACACACACACACACACACACACACACACACACACACACAGCAGTACCTGGCCAGCACTGAATCCACTATACTGTTTCCACTGCACAACTCAACTAGCTCTTTTTAGGTTTTTCTTTCTCAGAAGTTTATTGGTACTTCATTGTATATCATTTTTAACTACTCGTAAAAAAAAGTGTGTGTGTGCCTAATTTTTTTCATTTGGGACCACATGTACTCTCTGGGGAAAAGTTAGATTTGAGCACTGTTTTGTTGGGTTAAGCTCCAAATTCATTGAATTTGTTTGATTGATTCCTCATATTTCTCTCTCTGCTTTGTCTCCACCGTTTCCTTTTCTCCATAGTCACAGATGATTTTAGCATGAATGCTGTGATGCGTCTGAACCAGTACAGACCTGGTCTGGAGTACCGACTTACATCTCAGACTGGTCCGGTCCATGAGCCAGTCTTCACAATGGCCGTGGACTTAAATGGGAAGACCTACGAGGCAACGGGGCCCTCCAAACGAGCCGCCAAACTTAATGTAGCCACCAAGGCAAGTCTTCTGTATTTCTTATCTATATAAGTTGCCTTAAATTTGCTTTATTGCAAAAGCTCGGCTCCTCAGTACGCTGCAGCTCACTTATCTGCTACAATGACAAAACCATTGTTGACTTCTTTGTTGGTCTGAATTTCTGTTGTAGTTCACTGATTGGCTCCAGAGTTGAGGCAGCTAGTTGTTAACTTTATAATTAAATATTTCTTCTGTTTATCTTCATTACATGTTTGACAGGTAACTTGACTCTAACTTCTACCCAACTCTGCTGCGGGGATACATTTTCTTAAACATGACAACCCACACTGGGTATGTGAATGAAAGTTGCTGTTTTAAGTTCCCATCAGTTCATGTATTATGATTTTTGTCCTTTACAGGTTCTGCAGGATCTCGGTCTTCCGACAGGCTCAGAATCTAAATCAGAGTCCAGTGGTGACGCTGAAGCATCCCTGGAATCAGTGAAAGCCTCTTCCACAGCCTCTACTACATCAGAAGACGTATGTAACTCAGTTCCTCTCTCTGGAATGGCCTATTTTAAAGCCTCTTTTCTTTTTTAAATATTTTTTGGGGCTTTTATTGCCTTTTAATTGATAGTGACAGCTGAAGAGTGACAGGAAAGGGGGTAGAGAGAGAGAGAGAGAGAATGACACGCAGCACAAGGACCCAGCACCAGGCGAGCCATCCGGATGCCCCAAGAAGCCTCTTTTCAAGAACCTCCGTACAATAAAACCATCTCAATATTTGCTTTCCTCAGAGAGAGAAAAAAAGTGATATGTGAGATGTTCTTGAGTTAAGCGTTTATTGTCGTGTGTATTTTACAGCCGTTGTTTGTTCACTTGCTATGAACAGAGTGGTCAGGGTCCTATCTTGACCAAAAATGGCAAAAACCCTGTGATGGAGCTGAATGAGAAGCGTCGCAGCCTGAAGTACGAGCTGTCTGCAGAGACGGGGGGCTCGCATGAAAAGTGCTTTGTCATGGAGGTGAGTTGGCAGTATCATAGGCAGGAAACAAGTCTAAAAGGATAATCAGAAGATTCCTGTTGTTTTTTGTTCATCCTTTGCTTTTCAAGTGCAAAAAGAACACTACTGCACTTCTTGGGTCTGTCCTGCATTACAGCATTGATGTTGGATGTGCAAATTGTCGGCTTTTAGTTGTTGAATCAAATAAAAGTAAACACTGTGATAGAAAGTAATGCATGTCCGTTTTTAAAAAGTTTTTATGTGTTTTTCCTGTCTATCAGGTGGCTGTTGATGGACAGAAGTTCAAAGGCAGAGGTTCTAATAAGAAAGAAGCAAAAGCCTTCGCTGCCCTCGCTGCTCTGGAGAAGCTGTTCCCAGATGACAGCGGAGTGACAAACACCAACAGAAATCCTCCAAAGAAGAAGATCACGTACACAGACATGGTAATTTATGTACTTAATGATTGGATCTAAAATGTGCACACTGAATACACCCATTTGGTAGAATTCAGACAAATGTTGGTACAGCTTTTAAATGTATTAATGTTGAAGAAAGCATTCAGTTCTTTAGTTAACTGTTACATTTGTCATACCCCACAATTTATTTGCACATTAAGAAAAAGAAGCAATTCCCACAGCAGCCACTGCATGCACATCTCCATAAAAGCATACTCTGTCACCTAAAAGATTTTGCTCTTTACATAAAATCTTTTGCCATTTCCTGTTCAACAGCACATCCCAGGCTTCGGCACAATCCGTGGCATTCCTTCAGACTCCGGCTCTCGTGGCTGGGGTCCCAACAGAGGTCGAGGCAGGGGTCGGGGCAAACCGTTTCCTCCAGGACCCAGTTACAATAAGAGTAAGGAATTTTACACTCACTAGTTGTTGGCTTGGACTTCATACGCCTGCCAGGAAATCAACTAAATAGTTATTTCTTTCCTTCATTTTGAAAGCCAACTACAGTTATGAGAGCAGCACTGGCACAGGCTATCGTAAGTATTCCCTCTGTGCTGTGCTGTGGTGTTTTGTTTTTGTTTTGCTACTGAGTAGCACAAAATAGGAATGATTGTCGATTGATGGGGTTCCAATGGATTATACTTTGGAAAAACAACAAGTCATAAAGCAGATTTACTTATTTTACAAAATACATCCTTAAAAAAATATTATGTTGTGCATATCTTGCCTGTCTCAAGTTATAGAGCTTTTAATTCCCGCCCACACCGGAGGGGAAGACAACCCATCGCTCTCCATTGACTTGTATTGCATAAAGGGGCCTCCTTGTCACTTTCCGTTAGCGAGCCACAGGCATTTTGTTAGCATTTCAGCTCCTGGTTGCATCTTGTGCCACCGATTTAGTTTGTACCAAGCATGTCTTGTTCTGTTTTTGGTTGTTGTTTTGTTTTCACCTTTGAATGAAAATTAGACAATGTTATAAACAAATCGCAGTGAGACTGACCTTGTTTAAACTGTCTTTTAGATAAACTGTATGGTAATAACGCAGCCAGCACCACAGCAAAAGGCGCTGGCGCCACTGCATCAGCCAGCAACATCGGCTACGGCACCTTTTACCCGGAGGGCAGCACCTACTCCTCTCCGCCCGTCTCCAACTCCGACTCCAGCACCACAAAGGGAGAAAGCTACCAGACGATGCCTCCTCCCGCCGACCAGGAGAGCCCTTACAGCTACGGGTATGGAGATGAGAAGAAGAAGATGCTGACCCAAAGTCAGAATGAGGGCCAGGGAGGAGACTACTCTATGTACAGCACAGCTTACCCTAGCTCGGTGACAGGTGGCCAAGTGTATAATAATTATGGTGAGTAAGTTGAAATCCACCCCTGCAATCGAATAAAAACATCCCATTTCTTACTGCTTGTTTTTTTTTTTTTATATTTCTATATAGATGATATATTTTAAATATGCTAAGAGAAAACAGATCAGATAAAAATAAACACATTCTGGTTTGATCTCACTTTACAGGATGGGGAAACCAGTCGTCCTGGGGGAATGAGCAGGGGTATGGCATGTACCAGGGCTTCGGGGGACAAAACCAGGGATCATACTCTGGATACAACGACATGAATTATTAATCATCACATTGTGTACAGCCTTTCTCACCTCACAATGCCATCTCTTGACTCTGACTCTGTCCGCCCTCGACAATGATCCTGGGATACCACTTCTGAAAAGAGGAAAAAAAGTGCTCGTGTTGTCTCTGAAATTAGAAGGTTGCTGTTTTATTTGTTTTGTTTTCACCTCACTTGGACATCTGGTAAAAACAATTGTAGGTGACAGATGCAGGCTTATCTTGTGATTAAAGTCTACCTGTTTCTTTTAACTGCAGCATCCCTCATCGTGTCCGTGTTGACATGAGTGTAAAAAAATCATACCTGGTTTATGATTGTCTTGTTTCTAGGGTTGCGTTTTTTAAAACTAGTGTACTGGTTCTGTATCAGTATGTTATGGTTTTGATTTAAAGCTGATATTGGTTTTGAACTGAAGATTTATTTGTTTGTGTCACATAAAATGCTCTAATCTTTCCTGTAAAATAAATTACTATTATTTTACTATGTTTTTGTCCATTAGTTTGCAAATTCACAGAAGTATACATTTGATTAAGATTGCAGAACTTACCTTTTCATTCACTATGATGGATTAAGCTCTGATGTTGAATGTGACAGTCGTGGTCAGAGTTTGGCTACCAGTTGTTCATGAATTATGTCTTTAAAGCTGTTAAGCTTGAGCTTCCCTTAAAAATACCAAAGATATTGTTCACATCAGTGTTACAGGGAATGTTTTTCTGCAGTGCATGCAGATGTCTTACCTGTCTATATGTACAGCTATGTGGATGAAGAGGTGAACCCTCATTGACCCCTGTGAGGAAATTGGGTCACTGAAGTTGCAAAGATACTCTGGTTCCCTAGGGAAAATGAACCAGACTCTCAAGGACACAAATAAAATGTAAAATGGGCAACTTGTTCTACACCTACCATCTGTAGTAGATAGGTGTAGAACAAGTTCCAATTAAAATGGTAAAAATACAGCAGCAGTTTTATGTAAATGCATACTGGCACTCTTCACCAGTAAGTGATCTCATACAGTCTGCTTTGTATTTCTCGACACTGAAGTGAATTCACCTCCAACCAGGATGGTTTTTACACAACCATCTTGGTTGTTTTTGGGAAATGCCTACAAAAATTTGTTAAGCCAACTGATGGTGTCTGAATGGGTCCTGGGAGGATGTCTAGATGCATCTGTCAGAGCAAATAAAATATTGCTGATTTGTCTGCTTCCCAGGCTAACAGAAGACATTATACAACTGTATTTACAGGCGGAGTAGTCCATGTGTAGTTAAAAACAAAAAACAAAACGGTAGGCCTGCATCGTGGCAATATGAATATGTTGGTCTGAGTTTGAACGCTGCTGTCATTTGTTTCTCACATGTAGTTTTTGCCTGTGTTTCTTCTCTTATTATGGCCACAGAATGTAAATTATAGCACACTGACAATGATATTTCAACAGATATTCACATGTTTGCATCAAAGTGAGAAGAGGGCTATTTTCAGTTAAAGTGACAGGAGAAGTGTGAAAATAGAGAAAAGGAGGGTAGCGGAAGTTCTGTGAGACTAAACAATTTGTCCATGCCTTCAACATTTATTGTGCTTTATGTTAACCAGTGAACTACTGAAATAAACTCAGTGGGCTACATTTCTTATTCACAGATTATCCAAAAATATATAACCACGGAGATGGAAAAATGATGAAGGGAAACAGTGATTAACACTAAAACTGGAAAAAGTGTAGTCTGGACACCAGCTATAATAACCATTGCGGATCACATGTGGCTCCAGTCCCAAGACTGAGTCAGGGTGTGAGCAATGATCATGCCCCTGCGGCGTGTCCCGGGGCTGGTCCTCCTGCAGCCTCTCCTCCGGGAATGCTGATAAAAGGCGGGCAGGAGGAGCACTGCAAGGACCGAGAGTGTCCCGTCAGGTCATCCTGAGCACACCTCACAAGTTATCAGCTGTGAGTGTTTTTTTTTTTTTATCTCTGAGCTCTGACTTTATTATTTCTGCATGCTGACACCTACTCTTGATAAGATGTTTTTCTTGTCAGCCAGCTTTGTTTTCTTTTTGATGGCAGAGGACTGAGCCATTAGATACTGCTTAACTTTAGTGGTGTGTCTGCTGAGGCTGATGAAGGTCATTTGATGTGTGTGTTTCATGAATAGCAGTTTCTTATTTGAAAGAAGCAGAAATGCAGCAATATGCCTTGACAGACATGAAATTGTGACCTCTGACCCTTTCAGCCTCATAGACATGGCTGCTTTGATTAGCTTCTATTAGCTCCAGCTGGAACATGTCACCTTCAGGCTGCAGCCAATCACAAGTCACCTTTAGGTATAAAGCAAGAGACCATGTTGTTTGGTAAGGTAGGAGGGGGAGAGAGGGAGGAAGCATAGGCTTGCATGATAAGCTGCAGTTGCGGTTTGTGTCACGTGCCGCTTCTGGTTTCTTTGCTCAGACGTATGTGACTCTTACTTTCGGTTATGACTCTTGTTCTCCTTTTTTGCTGTTCTGCTGTTAACTGAAGATCTGATTGTTTTTGTGTTTCTTTAAAGATGGCACTTACAATAGTATCCATCTTAATTGCTGCCATCCCTGTGGCCTACTGCTATCCTACTGCCTTCCAAGACCTGGAGGAAATTGGCAGTAAGTGTCACTCAGACATGGGGATTCAATATCTCTCGTGAACACCTTTTTTTTTTTTTTTTTTGGTATCCGTGTGAGGTCTCGCCTCTCCGATGCTCAACTTCTAAGATTTTGCTCTATGTTGCTTTACAGCAAACAGAACCTCCATCAAGTTCCTGGCTGTAGGAGACTGGGGTGGAGTGCCTTATCCCCCCTACATCACCGCCGTGCAGAAGGCTACAGCTCGAGAAATGAGCAAAGTAGCAGAGCAGATGGGAGCTGACTTTATTCTGGCCCTTGGCGATAACTTCTACTACAAAGGCGTGGACAGTGTGGATTCCCCTCGGTTTGAGGTCAGTTGAGTAAACTTTGTTTTCTGAAATTACTTTTTTGTTTTTAAAAGGGGGGAAAAATGCTGATGTTGAAGCAACACTGTGGGTCTATTTTCTATCAGGACACTTTTGAGTCTGTGTACACTGCGAAGTCTCTCAAAGTCCCCTGGTACGTTCTTGCTGGCAATCATGACCATGCAGGGAACGTCAAAGCCCAGATCGAGTACAGCCACAAATCTGACAGATGGTAAGGAGCAACTTGTTTCCTAAAGCAGAGTCTGGCAAGTTCTGAGCTCCTTAAACTGAAACTCCTTTCTGACTTCATTCATAGGCGATTCCCCTCTTACTATTACGAGCTGAACTTCCACATTCCCAACACGGGGAAGACGTTAACCATCATCATGCTTGACACCATAATGCTGTGCGGCAACTCTGACGACTACGTGGACAAGAAGCCCAGAGGCCCCCTGCGTGCAGTGGATGCCAACCGTCAGCTGACCTGGCTGCAGGAGAGACTGGCTCGCTCCAAGGCAGACTTCCTGTTGGTGGCCGGCCACTACCCTGTGTGGTCCGTGTCTGAACATGGGCCAACAGAGTGCCTTCTACAAAGGCTTCATCCTCTGCTCATTAAATACCAGGCCACTGCTTATCTCTGCGGCCATGACCACAATCTGCAGGTAGGTTCATGCAAAATGTACCAAACACTTCTCAATCTGCAAAGCCGCTTTGCCTTCAATCTCGTCTTTGTCCCCTACAGTACATTGAAGAGTCTGGTGTGGGCTACGTGGTGAGCGGTGCTGGAAACTTCCTGGATCCAGATGTCCGTCACTGGAACCATGTTCCCAAAGGTTCTGTGAAGTTCTTCACCGGCCAAGCTTCAACACTGGGAGGCTTCATCCATGCGGAAGTCACAAAGGACAAGATGATTGTGACCTTCTTCCAGGCTAAAGGCACTTCTCTCTATCGCACTGTCCTCTCCCAAAGGAACTTTGAGTAGACTAGCTAACCACTGGAGATCGGTCAACTTGTCAGTTACATACAGTATTAGGCTGCAGTGTAGAGATCAAAGTAATTGCTGTTAATCCTGTTTGTTTTTTTTAAACCTTGGCATTAATATTTCAAAGCACTTGAGGTATGTTTTTAAAAAATCAACTAGTTTTACATGTAAATTCATTGTATGATAAGCGAATAAATGTGGTTTGTAAATTTGACTTGTGCCGTTAGTTTCAACACAGACTTGTCTTGCAACTTGCTTACAGTGTCATCTGCAGCCGTAGCTGAAACTAGACCTGCTTGGTGTGACTGAGGAAGCTGTTTCCTGATGGAAATAAGGAAACTTGATATGAGGCTTGCTTGGGGTGACTTTTAGTACCAAAATATAGTAATTTTCATTTTGCTCAATGTATTCACACTCCTTGTCAGATGTGTTGCAAGCACAGCCTTCATTTAACCATCTCATATGAACCCCCTTGTAGCTGCTCTTAACAATTCTGTTTCAATGTGAATGTCCAGGTCTTAACATTTTAAAGATTATGGGCTAGTCTAGGTTTGCACTTCTCTGGTCCTGAGGCTGTGATTGAAATACTGCAACATGAATTTCTCTGCAGAAAACATTACAGGGGCAAAAAAGCACATGGAATAGGAGATATTTATCTGGGCCTAGTTTGCTCTCATGAGGAGTCTAGGTAAGAATATACTGTAAGTTTGCAGTCGACACAGTAGGTGAGTATTGCAAATATGAGTGTACAAACACAGTGGCTCCTTTGTTCTGTTCTTGGTCAATCAGGTGACTGTTATATGTCATGAACTTCCAGCTCTGCACATCTAAGCCTTTAAAATTCCCAAGGCTTGTATATCACCCCAAACTTGGCTGCTAATTCTGTAGCTATACAATTTGGGGAAAATAATTGTTACTAAACGACCTAACTGACAGAATTGCAAAGATTTCCAAATGAGGATTATGGTGCTAATAATGGCTGGTACTTGACCTTAGATTAGTTAAATAGCCCAGCAGTAGCCCTTTTGCAGAATTACAGCTGTTTATGTATTTTGTGGCTTTGTTTAATTTTCTTGATTTAGTGAAAACCATACTGCAGGGGTGAGAAAAACATTAGTGTGGGTGGGTGGGTGTGTGTGATGAGAGCTGTATTTTAGAATTCACTACAATGTACGCATTTTAATTACTATCATTTGCAACATTCAAATTTGCTAGTGTCTCAAGAACAGCCCTTACATGTATGGGACATACAATAGTTTTATGCTCGTCATGTTCTAGGCCCATGTGTGGAGTTCACATGCGGACGTGGTTGGCTGCTGCTGAGGGGCAGGAGAGGTCAAGACTGCTGCAGTCACAGCTTTTTTGTCCATCGCAGAGAGCCACCTGGCCTGCCAACAGAGGATTAGGCTGATTGGCAGTTGCAGCAAACAGGATAAACTCAGCCAACCAATGACAATTAACCTGGGAGCGAAGCAGGGACCCAGAACAGACCGGTCTCTATTTTTACTCTCTCCTCCTGACATGCTGAGTTTTGTTTTGCTTTATTA